TACGGTTGGATTGTCTAATGGTATAACCTGTATAGAGTAAAGAAAAGTCCATTAAATATTGATGATGTGTATATACATTTACATTTACATTGTGCAAGTATTAGAAATTTCAATGCATGTACGCATTATGTACAACAAAATATTGGCAACAAATTTAAAGAAATAATAATAATAATAATAATAATAATAACGGTAATACAATATTAATATAGGTTGGCATATACATGTATTTAGTAATTAAAGGTAATGTAAGGTTGTATCAACATTTGGTGGTATTGGATGACACATAAACAAACACTCCTTTACATTAAAATGGTAACAAAACAGTACAATCACATACCATCATACAATGCACATATAAGTAACCAAAGAAAAGAATTTTAGTACAGTTACTCTTACTAATTTTATTTTATTATTATTTTTACTTGTAATAATGGCGTCCATCCAAACATATTCTCAGCATGCACAGCTGCTCCTCTCTCCATTAGTTTCGCGACCAGCTCTTGTGATATGAAACACTGAGCAATGGCATCCCTAATGAGTACCAGAGACACGTTTGAACTAAAATCCAAGTCCTTCCCTTTAGCATCGCAATGATACACTAGCTCGTCCCAAGCTGCTTGTCCGGCGATTAAAATATTCCTCGTGATCCCAACGATATTTGCGTCTATGCCACCAGTTAGGAGTCTTAGGGCATGGGCTGTGATTACTTCTCTGGCTCTGTCGATGGATCCATAGCCGACTGACACATAATTCTGCTCTGTGAGGTATTGAAGGTACCCAATGCCGTTTGCAAGGTCTCCGATACTGAAGGCGTAAAAGGCATAACGTCCTACTAGTTGATGAGAGGACTCTAAACCTCGTAGACCAATGAGAACACGGTAGAGATAAGAGGATTTTACAAACGAGTGGTGTCTCAGGTAAGTGTTTAAAAGACTTTCTAAAAACTCTTCGGCGTTCTCGATTTCCTTCAAAAACTCCCATTCGTCCTCACGCTGATTTGAAATGGTCGCTAATAACGCCTCCCAGTTCGGGACACTTAGGACAATCTCTAGATACTCTCCCAGCATTTGATGGCCTTGTCGTTTAAATTAAGTTTTGACATGACCAT